CATAAAATTATGTTTGATTTCATAAATGTTAGCATATGATATAAAAAGTTTAATGCAGGTAATGTCAAACTGTGCACAGATGGAGCACCAGCGCTTTGCCCGCTCAGACTCATCTGATTCTAATTCTGATTCAGATGAGGTGAGAGTCCCCTCTGACTAACTTTAAATCCCAACTTTAATCATTTTCTATTATATTAGCAGTAAATAATACCTTTTGTTTAATTTCTGCTAAGACCACCACGACCACAACCACAGCAGCAGGTGCAACAACTGCTGCAACTGACCTGAACGCACTGATCGCTCAACTACTTCTATTACTTAACCAGTAATGATCAAGTGAGTGACAAACAAGTTAAAGCTGGTTTTTGACATTACTGCTCTGTGTATGATCTTTGATGTTTGACATTGTGTGATGACTCATTTTTAACTTAGTGTATATCTTTTGAAGCGGTTAAGTTTTATTGTGAATAAAAATTGGTTGAGTTTTATTAACTTTTTGATCTCATCTCATTTCAGAATCAAGACCTGCTGTAAACCAGAATACTTTTGTTAAGTCATCAATTGGAGAAATATGACTTATAACTGTGTTTACATTTACAAAAATAAACCATCTTAATGCAAACTGCCCACTGGGTGTAACTTATTTTAGAAATGTTTAGGACATTGTAATTCCTCAAAAAGGCAAAGACTACCTTGTCTGGTTTGCAAACCTCTCATTACACCTGATGATATTTTTATACCCTTTGATAAAAAGCAAAAAAATAAAAAAAAGAAAGAAAGAAAGAAACCAACAACTTCCAACAGTAAAACTCCAAAAATACTATTGGAGTTCCACATCTGACAAATGTATGAAATATATCCTGGATATATAACATATAAAGTGTCTTGTAAAAGTATTTGCCACCTTTGAATTTTCTGACCTTTTGCAATATTTCATTCTTCTAACATAAAAATCTAAAATTGTATTTTTTTTTTAAAGAATCAACAAGTGAGACACAATCATGAAGTGGAACAAACTTTATTGGACATTTTAAACTTTTTTAACAAATAAAAAAACAGATTAGTGGGGGCATGCAAAATGAATCCGCCCCTTTACTGTCAGTGCAGCAAGCTCTGACTTATGACGATAAATAGAATCCACCTGTCTGTAATCAAATCACCGTATAAATGCACCTGCTCTGTAATAGTCTCAGAGTTCCGTTTAAAGAGCAGAGAGCTTCCAGAAGAACAAGGAACACACTATCATTGTGCCCTATGTGGACTTCTGTTGAGTTTCTTTTTAAGCATCTGTAAATACTGCAACTGCTAACTATATACAGTATATAGATCATTTTGTCTGTGATTGGAATTGTATTTAGGCTTAATAAAAGTACCAGGAATTACCCTTTGTGTTAGTTTATCATGAAGAAATGTTTTATTATCATGTTTTTTTTTTTAAATATGCATGACCCTTTAGTGCTTCATCAACAAAAACAATATATCAGTCTAATTTCAGTGTAGCAGTCACAAGTATCAGCACGTTGGATTGATACTAAGTAATTCGTAGCCAGACTCTGGTATCTTTATTAAATCTGTTCAACAGTGGAAAAGCAACTAGCTACTTTCTGTTAGTTTCTGTTAGCTCCACCAATTATGTTGTTTACATCCTATGCATCTCCTTGGGGCTAAGCCCCCCGTGTCCTTAAAACCTGGCGATTGACTAAATGGTAAATGGCCTGTACTTATAAAGCTTTAATATGTTGCAGCAGGAGTGGCAAAGTTTAGATAAGGCACCACGCAGAGAAAATTAAAACTTTTATTGGAGAGTGTTGGTCACAGAGTAAGAGTCAAGTTAATTTCACTAAGAAAGGTGTGGTCACAGCTCATTGTAAAGTGGGGAAAGATAAACAAGGTTGAGCTGCCAAAGAGCAAGCCAGCAGCGACACCAAGTGGTTAAGATGTGTAATGAACATTCATATTGCAGATGAATGTAGAGCTAAAAGAGCAGTGTCTCTCTTTTGTCAAGAGAACATGACATTACGCACACATATGTTTCAAGAAGAAAAATGAAGTGCGATTAGAAAAAGGTTTTTCCAAAAAAGTTAAACTTTTTTTTTTTCGTTTTTTTGTGATAGACTGACCTGGATGTCTGACAATGACTGCAAATGATGATTGATACAGGAAGTGGAATACATTTCAAGTGAAGATCTAAAGTACATACAGTACTAGAACAATGTCTGCCGAAACAGAACTGAGACCAACTAAACAAGATTTTATGGCTAAAAAAACGACCTCCCTTGAATGTGTAGCCAGAGATAACGCCTATGTGATAAAAGGGAATGTAGAAGCTGGACAGAGGAGCCAGCTTTGCAGTAAAATAATTAAATCAGGTGGAAACATCAATATGGTAGAGCAAGGAGAAAGGTTTGAAAAGTTTTTTAGAGGGTACAAGGAAGTTTTCAAAAGATTCAGTCAAATTAAAGGTTACAACCATCAGGTTACAGTCGATGAAAAAATCCAGCATGTAGCACAAGTTTTAAGGAGGGTATCTTATCCCAGGTTAGACGTTGTAAAGGAAACATAGAGGAAGTGAATCAAGGATCAGAATGGAATATCCTTACTGTACCCAAGAAAGACAGAAGTGAGGCAATGTGTAGATCTTAGAGAAGGTAATTGACAACATTTATCACACATAGAGATTGCTACTGCTTCAGAAAGTTCCCTTTGGATTATCCAGTGCACAGGAAGCCTACCAAAAGGTTACGGAATCTATGATGTATGCTACATGGATAATGTTGTGGTCATTGGAGAACATGAATGTCAGAATAGGTAGACCAAAACAAGTTTTTCAGAGATTTAAGAGCAGGGGTTTAACTCTCAACAGAGTGGATCAAATCTGCTATCTAGGAAAGGACAAGCATTGGAGTGGAATACAGGGACTTGGCCTGAGACTGTAATCATATAACCATAATGCAGAACACATCTATCTAATGTTGCAGATTCACTTTCACAACTTCCCCTAACAGAATCTGTGTATAAATGATATGTAGAGTCTTATTTAGGTAAAGTGTTGATAATGATTGTGCACTATGTACAAGCCATGAGACTAGAGGACATAAAACAGAAAATGACAGAGGATGACACAATGAAGCAGCTGATTGTGGAGGCAGGAAAATTGCCTAATCTAGTTGCAGAAGAATTGCAGATTTATCACAGTCGCTTTGGAGAGTTTAGCACATATGATGGACTTTTACTAATGGGACACAGTACAGTGTTACCAAGACCAATGGTGAAACAAGCACTTGAAATTGGACATGAAATTCTACTGGCCCAATATGGATTTAGATGTAGAGAGACTGATCAGATGTTCTGCTTGTGCACAGCCACCACCAGCCACTGTGTGAAGATCAAACCCTTCAACCACTAGAACTAGTTGTTCATATCTTAAACCAGTATGTCTTAACTGTTATAGACTGTTAAACTTCATTTCCTGATGCTACCTTGTATCAGATATTTTCTAAGCCACTGTAGTTACATAACTTTTAAAAAAAAGAACTGATTTGTTTAATTATTTATTCTTAACAATAAGGAATTGTTGATGTTAATGTGTCATTGCAAGAGACAGAAAGATAGTAGAAAAGAAAAACATGGCAGCTGTATGAAAAAAAAAAAAGTGTAAATAAACATAACTCCAAAACTGAACAGAAGGACTGTTTATTGAAGACATCACAGCAATTTATAAGGATTTAAAGATTGAAGAATTTAGCATAGGGAAAACTGCTTAAATTAGTATAAACCAGATATCATAAACATAAAACAAGTAAATGAATTTGTTTATAAGACACTCCATGGTGTAATTATTTTCATAAAAACCTGACAGCTAGCTAAGAGGAAGCTCTCTCACCAAACTTAGCATTGACAACAATGATCTACTGTCTCACTTGTGTTGCACCAACAATAAGCAGTTTGTGTTGAAATAACTTATTCTTTAAGTACCTATTTCTCAATGTGATTTAGTAAAGATAATCTGAAGAGATTATTTGCCCACAATTTAATAGGTTTAAGTCTCTATTGTCTCAGTCACGCCTTGAAGTAGATGTTTAATAAAAACTTAAAATTTGCAACACCTCTGCATCGTAAGGATATAAAAAAGAACTTCAGGATTAAAAAGTAACACTTTAGCCATGCTGAAGATAGCTCTTGTTCTTGGATGCCTCCTGAGCCTCATTGTGGCCGAACCTGTAAGTTCTTAAGTTTAATGTCATAAAAATCAGGATATAGTGTGAAAAAGTTTAATGCAGGTATTGTCAAACCTTGTACAGATGGAGCACCAGCGTTTTGCTCGCTCTGATTCATCTTTTTCTGACTCATATCAGGTGAGAGTCCTCTTTGCCTAACGTATTGTATGTTAGGTTTGGCAGAGAGGATAGGTTAGGCAGTTACCCCAACTGATAATTGTTTAGTGTATTATCAGTGAGAAAGCCCTCTGCTGTGTGTGATGGTATTTTTTCTTTACCTTAGAACACCACGACTACAAACACAGCAGCAGGTGCAACAACTAGCAGACCTGAACTAATTCATTGTTCAACTACTTCAATTGCTTAACCAATAATGATCAGGTGAGTGGCACACAATACATTATTGCTGAGTAAGATCATTGATGTTTGACTTTGAGTATATTCCATGAATGGTTAAGTTTTATTGGGAATCTTGGACTATTTGATCTCATCTCATTTCAGAATCAAGACTTGCTGTTAACCAGAATACTTCTTCACACTCATTCACTGGATATATATGATTTAGAACTGCCTATAAACTTAAAAAATAAACCCTCTAAAAATAAACTTAACACTTGTTGGTGCTTGTATTTAAATTGTAAAATCATGCTGCCTTTCATTTTCACTCTATCTGAAACATAAAAAGCAACCAGGACAAAAAAACAGACACCAAGAATATGTGTATCGTATACATTTTAGAATGTCCTCATGCCTCAGATAAAAGGCATCAGGCAAAGGAAAAAAAGGAAAAAAATTTCACATTGTCTACCATTGTTAAGGTTCCGCTATTGAAGCTCATATCTTATTTTTCCACCTGATTTTCAGTTCAAAATTATGAGACATACAGAATAGCAGTCTGTTCACAAATCATCAAGAAAAATGATCAACTCTAATGATAATACAAACTTAATGTTCACGAGAAGAAAACTGCAGGAGCCTAATAGGTGTGATGCCTCTACATTTTTCACTATCACACACCATCATACATGTAATTCTACAAATTTGGTGCGAAGTATCTTCAGGTAAGTGAGCATCTGAGTCGCACAATTTTGAAAGGACTATAAATCACATTACTTGATCAGATATATTCAGCGTAAGGTGGCCAACTGTTATCTGCCTACATAACACTGCTATGTCATATAAAGCATTTCCTCATGTCACAAATTCAACAATAAGCAATGAAAATTAGGAACATAACGAACAACTGATTTCAGATATTGGATGGAGCTTTGTTATTAAGGACTTTAAAAGCAAATAGAAAGATTTTAAATTTCATTCCGGATTTAACAGAGAGCCATTGAAGGGAAGCTAAGATAGGAGAAATAGGATTTTTTTTCCCCATTATTTTTATCAAAACTCTGGATGCAACATTTTGGATCAGCCTGTGGCGTTTAGGTACAGTTTGTGGAGTTCCTCAAAGTAAAGTATTTTAATAGTCCAGCCTTAAAGTAACACATGCATGGACTAGGTTCTTGACATCACCACTGGACAAAATATTTTTTTTATTTCTGAAATATTCCAGAGATGAAAGAAGAATATTCTAGACATCTCTTTCATATTGGATTTTAATGACAGGCCTTATCAAAAATAACACCAGGGTTTTTTACATGATTATTTGAGATCAATTTAATTCCATCCAGATTAAGTTGATAAGCTTCTATTTCAAAGATTTCAGCCTGAAACCAATAACAGTAAGAAAGTATGCAGTCCTCCAGGTTTTTTGGTGTTCAAAAAATAGTATATGTAAAGGGTTCGTTTTATCAGTATATTTAGACAGATATCTCTGAGTATCGTCAGCCTAACAATATAAACTTGAAAAGCACTTAGAGAGTGCAGACCTCTACCTGGCAGCAAAAATAGCCCCATATTGTGACTAAAACTCTCACATGATCTGGATCATTACCAAATGTTCTGCTCTCATCTTCATTCACTCTGCACTTATTTCTTATTTTATAAGCAGATCAAGTCTTCCAGTGAGACAGGGCTCACCCTTTCCTGTTTTTATTGTCTTCAGTGTAATATTTCTGGACTTTTTGGAGTTCAACACTGAAGCTGTCAATAGTTACTGCTGCCACTCTCTGGTTTAGGGGTTAACTGCTCATTCTGCCAAATACTGTTAAAGAATCATTTAAATAATCCCTGCATCTGGATTATGATGTGGATCATCACCAAAATATGATGGATTGTTCCTTAGACTGAGCTGCACCTTTGGTAAAACCAAAATATTAAACTCTTTTCAATTTATCATATGCACAGACAAATATACGCTAAAAACTTAACCTCCTTGGCGGAGGTAATTATTCGACGCTGTTCAGAAATTTTAGCGATTGTATGCTAAAGAGAAATGGTCTTAGCACTGATCATTGTGGTACTCTACTGGTAACCCTGGAGCTTAAGGAAAAGTTTTCATTAATTGAAATCTGAACAAACCAAAATCTGTCAGACAAATAACTTTTGGGTCACTGCACAAGTCACTGCTTGACACATTGGGATGTTCTTTTAAGTAAAAAATGTTAGCATTTTTATTGATATTTCTGTTTTGGACTTCTTATCTCTATGAAATAAAGTGTAGCCCATTAATGGCTGGTATATTATATGGTGTATATTATATTGTTAACTTTCAAAGCTGTACTATATGTTAGGGTGACCAAACGTCCGTATTTCCCGGGACATATCCGTATT